TCACGAGACAGCATAACGCGTCCCCAGGTAGCGTCCTCTGGCGGATAGGAGATTAATAGCGCACGAAAAAAAACTGTGTTTTTCTGATATTTAGGTTGATCCAAAGAATGGACTCCCTGCTTGTTGTTGCTCTGTTGTTCTCTTTTTTACAACAATCGCGTGGTTGTTATTCAGCACACGTTTAATTCCTCGCAAATATAACATATACAACACAACGGTAGCTGACGTTTATTATCGGCAGTATCGCCTTACCTATGCAGCAGAGAAGATTTTGATGTAAAAGTCGCTATCATCGCACGGAAGACTGGAACACCAACGCGCAAATTTGGTTTTTTGGATGGATTCCAAAAATCCGAGAATGAATAACAGGGAAGAACGCGTGATCCAGCCCCGTATCTCAGAGCTGATTTTTGATGTGAGGTGGTGCAGTGATCAACCATATGCGACTCTAAGCGGCTATTCTTCCTTGGTGGAAGGCACATAAAAAACGGTGGCTTTTCAAGAAGCCGGTGATAGTGTAATTATTGTTCAGATTTTCATCTTTCTATTTGCATTGATGATTCGTTTGACCTAGTAAATTATATATTTGTGTACCCTTCCAGGCTCTGAAGATGCTGCGGAAACGTCAGCTACCGTTGTGTTGTGTCTTATATTTGTGAGGAATTAAACGTGTGCTAAATAACCTCGCCATTGCTGTAAAAAAGAGAACAACAGATTTATAATCCAATGTCAAGGTTAATAGAAAGTCGATCTTGGGAACTGTTTGTTTATATTGTTGAGCCTACACGAGGTTGATAAGAGATGTTTACTCCGCTAACGTTTCGACGTCTTCGTCTTCATTAGAGCAGGTGATCCTTTTCGATCGTCCTTAGTTGTTCCTCTACTCGAAATGGCGTCTTCATTTTGTATCGAACTGGATCACTCTCAGTTGAGCATCTCGAATGAGTCGAACATACCCGCGACGTTCCTTAATACAGGGCAGTTGTCGCTGATATGATTATCAGTTGATAATAATTTGTTTTTCAACTGATTACCCACCCTGCAGCAGTCGGTATTTTGTTATCTAGAACATAGCGATTGGCGAAACAATACTTTTGAAGTCGACCGTCATCAAACCTCGGTAATGGAATAATCAATACATGATAATCATATCATATCATCGGTATAAAATATCGACTGCCGCAGGGTGGGTTATTATTTGAAAAACAAATTATTATCAACTGATAATCATATCAACAACAACCGTCGTGTATAAAAGAGCGTCACGAGTGTGTTCGTCTCATTCGAGATGCTCAACTCAGTAAGGTCCGGTTCGATGCGGATCGAAGACACCACATCGAGAAGAGGAACAACTGTTGACCATTGACAAGGATCTTCGGATCTGATGAAGGCGAAGACGTTGAAATGTTAACCAGATAAACATTCCTAACAAACTCGTATACGCTCAATAATATAAGCACATGTTGACAGAGCCGTGTTTGGGAGCCCCGTCTTCTCTGAGCGAGACTGACAAGGTATTCATGAATATACTCAGCCTTCGCGTTTAACAGGCGCTATGTGAGTACTGAACGCTAAACAGTAAAATAAACAGGCCTCATTACCCTGACCCCGAAAGCCCCTGATACAGCAGCGTTGGGTAGGACGAGTACGGAGAGATTGCAAAAACTCAGGGCCATTTCACGCTTTACTTATCATACACGCACGCTTGCATCTGAGTCCTCGATAAGGGGCTTGTTCATACAACAGGCAAGAAGAGTAAGGTACAACGTCATCAGACTGGCTGAGCCGAGAAGACGTTACCCATTGAATACCGTCTGTAGCACCGGGAACTGTTCCTCGGAACATGAAGCAGTAGAGTCGGCGGCGTCGACGTACTCTTCAACACGAGTTTAGCCACGAACATCAATTCATTCGAGCAGCCAAAAACCCGAATTGGAGGTCCGCCATTGAAGAGATGTGGATCAATACCGGCTATAACAATCATCTTCGTCTGCGCACCAACACCAAGTTATGACGGCGACAAATTCGAAGCGTTTTATTAGGACATGGAGAAGTTCTGCAGAGAAAGCCATAAGTCATCATTGGGAATATTAACGCTAAGATTGGACCTAGAAGAGCATTTGAAGAACGTGATGTTATGACCGATGGATAAGTATTGTGCCCTTACTGGCCATACTGACCAAGAAAACGATCGCCTTATCTAATATATTCACGTTAGTGCTATGAAGCTATGAACAGTTCGAAACTCACCAAAAGATCTCTATCTCCAGAATCAATCGAACTGATACGCCAACGTGGAATCGTACGAGCTACAGGGAACGGCAGAATGACGTCTGAAATTGCAAAACAATGCACATAGGCGATAAAAAATCTTAAAAAGAGATGACCAGCAGTTTTGATCGATGCTGAAGAGGCTGGAGAGAGCATTCGCAAAGCTCACCGATGCATCGCCAATTGCAAGACCAAGGTGGTTGCACTCTGACGCCCAGGCTGAACAGTTACAGCTTCCAGAAAGGCTATAGAGAAAATCACTCACGATTACTGCTCGGATCTGTTCAATAGCCACGTTCTACTGCCCGCACACGAAGTAAAGCAGAATGGACATGTCGTCGCAACGGTGAGTCGTACAAAACCAAGTACGGACAACATAAAACTTGAACCCTTAAGAATATTTCGCCAACCCTCTTTTACACATTGGCTTGCCTCTTGACACGCTATTTATGTGAGTGCAAGGTCCCTTCTCAGTGGAGGAAAACCGTGCCGTTGTTTAAGAGTGGTGACCTCCACGATATCGTTATCTATCGCCCAATCTGCATGCTGTCTGTCGTCCACAGACTTCTCAAGCGAGTAATCATAAACGGGATTTACAAGACACTGGAGGAAGGACAGCATTATGAACAGAAACGATTTCGAAAACGTTTCAGCGCAAATATACAGGCGATAAGCAAGACGCGCTGAGGTATCGCGAATCTACAGCATGCCACTAAGTCTCATTTTCATCGATCTAAAGAAAACTTTTGACTCAGCTGATATAGAAGTGGTTATCGAAGCCTTGGAGAGCCGGCGCGTCTCTAGTCAATATGTAAAGGCCCTTCACGACTTATATACAACTTTCGCAGCTATATATCACCGTTTTACAACGGTTTTAACATCGACGTCAAAGGAGAGCCTAAGCAAGAGGATATAATCTCGCCAAAATTATTTGCTACAACCCTCAAGAACGCCTATGCGAACACTGGAATGCGACAACGTGGAAGTGAAAATCGATGGTCAGCAATTACACCATTTTCGTTTTGCTGATAGTATCGTTAATCTTATGTCAAAGGTAGTGTGCAGCAAGACAGACCACCGACTCGATAGTCAGAGTTCTACACAAAAGCTCTAGAAGAAAGATATGATGCTCAGTGTGTCATTAGAACGAGCAGAACCTAGTGGGCTACTCTTGCATGCTAAAGGAAGAAGTGGAAAATTTATTGGCGCCCGCTTGAGGCACTCAATAGTCAACCTGTGTTCTATGTGTTCTAGTCAATATATGACCGTCTGCTGCATGATGCATCGCAGTCAAAAAAGTAGGTCGTAGTTTAAGGCGGCAACAGATCAGCATATGTACTGTTTAGAAGGGCACCATCAAGTGACATTCTTTATTCGAGCGGTGCTCCACTTCAATGGATTCTACTATATGCGATCTAAAAGACCCACATCTGAACGTAGAACAACTGAGGACCGTCTACTCGGATCAGACATGCTCTTAAGAAGACGAAGACGTCGAGAGCCTAATAAAAATTATAGCAACCTCGTGTTAGAGCCTAGTAATTCTAAGAAATATTTATTCATACCAAGTTTAAATTTCGATCGATTTTTAAAATTTGGAAACAATCGTGTATATAGTCATAATAATACTGAGATATTTGTAAAACATAGGCCCCAGCCCAGATTCGAACCCGTGACTGCTCTTGCAGGAGGCTCACGTGTTGCCCACGGCACCATTGAGGTTTTTTTCTCATTTTAGCTGGGTTGAATACCGATTTGTGCTACTCAGATTATTCCCTTTGACGGGTGTTTACTGATGGCACCGTCACTGCAAAAAAAACTGAATTGCAGAAAGCGAAAGCAAGAGCCACTGACTTCGTACATTGCTGGGCCACTTCTAGTCGTTTTATAGGCGAGGTACGCACTGAGTCACCTCTAACGCTGTTTGTTAAAGTAGAATGCATCTCGTATAACGCAAGGTTTAATCAATATCGAGATCTTTATCTCTTGTCCCTTAATACCTACTTGAAATTGAGTATTTAAATTATTTTCAGACTCTTATAGCGCATGTATGCGCCAGTGTAGTAAGTGCGCTAGATAACGATCCATATTTTTACAGAAGGTTGGTAACGATACCGCCCCATCTTCTGAGTGGTATCCAGTGGTGGTCTCACTTGGTGAAGCATGTCATTCTGGGTCCACATCCATAAGTAAAGTTCCAGATGATAGAGGTATGAGTTAGGATATATATTTGACGCATTGTTAAGTAAAGATATATCAATATACCAGTCATTTCTCGTTTTCTTGTTTTGCTGAACAATTTTTTTATATAATTATTTTTCCCATCGCATTTTCTAACACTGTTTTACTGATAAGAACTGTTTTCTGCTCATTCTAGTTGACATGTTAGTGAATCCGTTTTATTGAACTCCATGGTGATGTTTTTCTCTACTCCAACAATCTTGTAGCACGGAGACTGGTGGTAGTGGGGATTTTGTGACGTACCTGTGCACAACTACGTTTTTATCAGCCATACGACAAATCCTCGTTTATTGTATAAATAGAGTAATACAAAATACTGCTGCTAACGGGAAAGGTTCTTGTTGGTTATACTCGGAACCTTACTTTGATTGGCGTGAGCTGCGTATGCCTCATATTGCAGGGCAAAAAATTGGCAGTCAACGCAAATTAAGTGTCATTGGAAATTTTTATTGTATTTGTTAAGAGTTCAGTTTAAATATGCTTTTAAGATGGTCGGTAAAAATTGTAATCCAACAGTTTCAGAAAGTGGCGCCGATATTAAACTAGAGATCACCAAGTTTCTCGAAGAATTGATAGAGAAACATCCTGAGACTCTCGATGTTATTGAAAACGTTCGTCAAAGCAGATTAGGGAGAAATTCTGCAAATCGCGTGCCACATATGCTCAGAATGCATGGGTTGGTTTTTTTAGTCTCGTCTTCACAACTTCATTGTTTCATTAAAACAATGGGAATTGCGTCATTGCTATTTTTATGGCTGTGTTTTCTCAAGATTTAACTTCAAGAGTACGCTCGAGACGTCGCTCATCTTCGTCATCTGTGTCCGCATTATCGGATATGGCTCTGCGTGATGGTACTCATGTTGCTTCCGGACATGAGGATACGTCCCAGGGAGCTGTTCATTCTTTTCAAGATTCTGACGGCATGTGGTGGACGTATGCGTTTGACGAGCACGGTGAGTAGATCACTGAAGGGCTGAAGGGCTTCAGATTACGGAAGATAGCGATTCTGTAACGCAGTTTTTTTTAATGTACTATTTAATAGGAGTTGGGACTGCGCAACCTTTGGGATCAGGTAGAGCTTTAATGGAGCTTCTGCAAAGTGCACAAGATCCTCCAGTGGGAAGAAATCGTTTAGATGTGCGCTTCATTTTTTCAATATCGCATGGTAGAATAGTTTGGCTTTTAAAAAATAAGTTGTGTTTGCGTTTGCTTATATTTTAAAATGAGGTTTCTTAATTCTAGGTCCTACCTGAGTCGGCATATGTTAGTAGTGAGGATGAGGCAGAACCGTGTTCTTCACGAACTGCTGCAAATTTGCCTACACTGAATGTTGGGAACACGAGGTTGTCTTGATTTAGAATACAAATTTTCTATCAAAAGAGCAATAATAAGGAAGTATAAAAATTAACTTTTTTGCGATGACGAATGAAATGCTATAGGAAGTCCTAACGGAACAAAGAAGGTTGAATAGTAAAAAGATCACTTTTTTTGTAACTAATTTGTTTTCTCCAGGCGAGAACGTGCGTTGTCATCTTCGAGTAATGAAAGCTATACTTACATTCCTCAACTTCCAACCACAGTTTTTCATGCACCCACTGGGACCGGAGCTACCAGAACAAAGTGATTTCTTTTGGTTGATTATAACCGTCGTGTTTTTACTACAAAACGCGTTTTAAGCACTCGACGTGAAATGGTCTCGTTTGCCAATGTGGCCTCACGGTTACGTGCTGCCGTTCGTAATAGCGAAAGCATCACGTTAAATTCTAATGATTTACCGGATGCTACCTCGCACCAGCTTTCTCGTAGTGTTATGGATAGAAGAGATGGAAGAAGAGATTATAGTGGACCACTTTTTCATGTAATTTTCACTGTTGAAACATCTCATTTCATAGTATTATATTACTGCAATACACATGGGATCGATTCCCGCGGTCCTGGACCACCAAGCCATCTATCCCTTTGGAGCTGGCAGATTTTCACCGGACTTGTTTGGGAGGATAGTTGTACTAGCTGGGTACATTGGTAGGCCACCGCACGTCATTGAAAGTCCCAGATGTGCATTCAGTTAACTCCAACGATGCTTAATGAAGTCGAATACATGGCGCATCTCTGAGGGATTGATCAACCCCAAGAACTTTATCCTTTTTAGTGCTTCATATTATTTCATCATTGAGTGGAAATATACTCCCGGATAGTGGGGAATTTCTGACACAAATTTGCCATAGTTTTAGTCTATCGAAATATATGTTATTGGTGCAATTCATAGTTTTTTAGGAGAATTTTTTAACGCGGTTGGATTCGGGTTCATCCGCTGGCGGTGGAATGTCGTCACGGTTTCGTTTTTTTGCTGAACTTGGTTTATTACCGACTGGTGGTACAAATTCAGGTAGTTTTGTTTCCACATTAATTTACTGTTATGGGTTTGTAAATTTTTCTTCTGACGGTGATTAAATCCTAGGAGTTCTCTCCGGTGAATGTCCGGCTCCCGCTACACACCGAACATCAACTGTTAAGAAAAGTTATTATTATAAAATGAAGATGTTTCCGAAGACTAATAAAAGTTTTAAATTGAAAGTAGGTTATACGTCAGCTTAAATTTTATTTCTTCTGAAATATTTCTCTTTCAATATTGGAACAATTACATTTGTACAATGTTCTCCTATATGCTTGTTGCAGCTGGATCGGCTTTCGGTATCAGCGCTGTTTGATCGAAATCGTTCCGTTCCTTCTTGTATATTCGACGTCTTTTTGGCGTGTTTAATTTCTTTCCTGGCTGGTCTCGTCCTCGCAACAGGAATATATTTCGATATATGGTTGTTTATGTTTGCTTTCACTGTAGCTGGAGCTCATGTAGGTTATTTTCATTGTTATTCAAGTTCTCTTCCTTTAAAAAAAATAGCTTTTAAAATAACTTAGAAGGCCGACTTTCCATAAACCTCGGCGTAAATGATCGATATATTTGTATGTCCTTATGAACTGATCTTCTTGAGCTGTTGCGAGCTTGGTGTAAGTTGTCGTTGTTGTCGTCGTTGTTGCTTATCTCAATGGCTGACGTTTTGGCAATTTCGCCTTCCCCAGAGCCATGCTGTTAAGTGTTGGACATATTTGAGTCCAATTCGTAACCGCACGGTTCTGAGGAAGGCGAAATTGCCGAAACGTCAGCCATGGACCAACAACAACAACGACAGTTTCTATCAACCACTCCTCAGCTCAACAAGGTCAGTTCATAAGGACATATAAATAAATATATTTTAAAATATTTTGCAATGTAAAACCACCTTGCCTTCTTAAATCCAATGCGGCGCTGCAAAACCTATTCGGTTTAGTTTTCCTTGCTGAAAAGTGTTCAACCAGATGCATCATCGCCGATACATGGCTTTAACTGGCTTGTTGCATATAGCCGTCCCGTTTACTTTTGTATAGGAGCAGTAATTGTACTCATGTTGCACCATTTCTCTGACGATCCACGTTACGATAAAATTCCATGGAATTGGAATCCATATAGGTAGAAACTTTATTTACACGTAATTTTTCCCTATTTGTGATTAAAAACTTTAGACTTTATGAGACTTCTGGCGAGATGATACTACTGGCTTTTCGAGATCTGTTTGCAACATTTCTTGTAACGCTTCCATTTGCTTTTACAATGGGTTGGCTACCCCAAGTGAGTTATTTTTGCTCATTTTTCGTAATCTATGACTTTTTAGCGAACTCTTATAATTCGCTTCTTGATAGATTAACACTTTAACTCATCATGTATTGGAACAGCTCGAAATGCATATTTTCGGAGGGACAGCTTCATTAGGTGTATTCTCTGCAGTGTTGCAAATTTTTAAGAGCCTAATGTGTTGGGCTTTGTTGGGAGGATTGTGAGTTCTTGCACTGCGTATATTTTTCTATATGAATTATTTGATTTAAGATTGTAATCGGTTTTAGATGTAATCTGGCGTTCTCGGTTGATTCGAAGTCCACTCAAACACCAGCTTTTTCTGCGTTTCTTTCCGTTGCTGTTGCAACATCCTATTTACTCAGTCGGTAACTCTTTCGCTCTATTAAGCATTAGAGTGAATTTTTCCTGAACAGGTAGTTTTTTCTCTGTAGATTCTCTTCTAATCCACAACTGTTCTTGTTACTATGCCGTGCTACGGTTTTCCGTTTCCAAAAAACCGAAGAATGGACGACCAGGAACGGCCTGTGTTGTATTTTGCCTAACGAACAAGATGAAAGCGATCATATGCGTGATACAGGTATAAAATCGACGAAGTTTTTGCGGATGGTGAAGAAATGACTAGGGTTCAGATGAGCTGGACGTTTCCGATCCCCTACCTGGGCGACTTCGTAGTGCTGTTGTTCTACGGGCACGTCACGATGTTCTATTCTCGACATTTTTGTCACTAATGGTATTTGCATTGCATTCAACATCATTGTTTACCGCAACACAGCCATATTTCACCGTAAGTTTCGAATTTTTACAATATTAATTAAGGCTCATGTGCACTAAAATAATTGCGTGCAGTCGTTGCTATTTATCATCTTAAGTTATATTTTTAAGATGATCGTTGTACCTATATGTGTAGTATTTGGTATTATGAACCATTATATATATCAACAGCTACGAACGCATACTCCGTGGAAATTGGTTTGTTTTTCTGGTTTTTTGAGCAGTTTTTAACCCTCCCAAAATATATTTCTCAATACAGATTGCGAAACCTGTTCTACATTCAAAAGAGTACACCCAGTACGAAAGCACTGATGAAGCCAAGCTCATGACTTTCGAAATAATTCATGTTTGGATGCTAGCAATAGAGAAGAATTTTGTACGTTCATACATTGCTTTTAAAACCAGTATTGCTGACTTTACGTATCCATCTGCTTGATCGGAGAGCTCTTCGACACTTTTAACCTTGGTTTGATTTTCTTCAGTAAAGCGAATTGACCTTAGGAGTTATTACTCAGTAACTGCGACCATGTTATAATTATGGATGGGAGGGGAGAATGTCACATATTTATTTTTTCAGTGATTTCCTAATATGTGCGGTTAGAGTCATCACGCCACATCCCGTGTCTGCAAACGTCGATTAGGGGCTTAAAGTGGACTAAAAACGATCATGCGCTCGCATTTTGGCGCAGGTGTGCTAAGAAGTTGGGATTTTCTATTCTTGGATTAATTAATAGTTGCCCTGTACATGCACATTGCTTTCATGTATAACTGCATGATATGTTGGGTAACATTCGGTTTACGTCGTACACGTTGAAGCTAGAAGCAGTAAAGACGGAGGTTCTCATAGGACAAGGACGGTGTTTTTTTGTAGTGCGTTTCGCTAGAGGAAACGAAATTAGAACTTCTTGCCCACGGTAGGAATATTGCACTTTATTGACACCTCCGTGGTCCACATCTGGATTTATAAGGATGTAAGTAGTGCAGCTAATCATTATTTTAGGTACTAATAATGGCATATGTTATGAAATCTATGGTACATATAAAATATGCACTCTACAGTTTTGCTTTCGAAGATAGCTGGACTAAGTTGTGGCCGTTTTCATTCACCATTAAGCCATACTAGTACAACTCCAGCCTTCTGAATCAAGGTACATCTCGCTCGAAGGTGTTCCATAATGAATGAGGAGGCCTTCGAGTGTACTGCAGTATCCAACCTTCATGTTATTCTTTTCCTCTGTCCTTACAAAGTACAGCGTTTCAACGACTTTTTTGAGGATCCGACCCAAGTAATAATCCTTATACTGTGCTAACTTTTTTATTCAGTGCCAAGTCTTTTTTAATATCGGTGTGTGATGGTATGGGGTCGTGCCTTGGAGTGAGAAAATAGGCAATAAATAGAAAAGCTAGAATTGTGATTTCGACTGCAGCTTCAACTAACTTCAGTGGGTTTAATGTCGATTTATGCACCAAATCGTTTCCATTGACGCTGATAGTGCCGATAGAGTAGAAAATTAACAAAGAAAAGCAGAGAAAGGCCTTCGGTTGTTGTTGTGGACAACTCGTTAGCTTACGATAAGGGTTTTCTTGAGCTCAAAGTCCATCTGAGGTTACGATCTTTGTTCATATCTCAGCATCCTTGTAATTGTTTTATGATTCAATTGGCTTACTCTTTCGCTAAATGTATTGAACCGTAGAAATGTGTTTGCCTACCGGTTTGCTGAGCTTTCCAACAAATGTGTAGGACACTATCCGAGGTTAAGCATATGTATTTGAGTTTTCCACGATAGTGTTCTTCACTCTTTCAGTTGTACCCCCTTGTGGCTATAGCAATGTTGACAGAATGCGGATGGTTACTGCCAGTAGCGAGAATGCTAGGACCACTCATCATTCTTCGCTTTTTGCGAGGTGGATTCTCTCACCCACAGCTGATCTACATGCCTTTGGCTCTTGCATTCACTATAAGTCATTTCGACTGGAATGCGGGGCCACCATTTGGTCTTTCTAAGGTGTGTCTGCAACCATTTTGTTACCTTCAGTTTCATCGAACAGTTGGTGAATTTCGATATTTTGTATAACTTTCAGCTTCCACTTGCTACGTTGTTTCCTATTGTTTTATACGTCCTCATAGTATTATATCCAAAGTGGCTTGAACTGTACCTGAAAATGAGTTTCGTCATGGCTTATGTAGCCCCTTGGCAAATCAGTTGGGGATCTGCATTCCATGCATTTGCTCAAGTTAGTAGCCTTTTTATTGATTAAGCGATGCCCAACTTTAGGGTACTTCTCAGACTGTCGCATTTACAATTGTGTGCTACCTATAGTCATCGATAACCTCGTGAAGTATGGGATCAACCTTCGAAACGTGGCCTAAAGAAATTTATTTCAGCCGTTTTCGATTCCACATTCCGCGCTGATATGGACTCAGACTGTTCTGTCTAGTCTTCTGAGCGCGCCACTCAACCCATTCCTTGGTACGGGAACAAATGGTTTCCATCACTTTTTTTCTCGTTAAACCGACATGTTAAATTTAAGGCTCCTCTTTCTTTATCACTTCTTACGTACGTCCGGTGAAGTTTTGGGAGAGAGACTATAACACCAAGCGTAGCGACGCATCAAACACTACCCTTGGTGAGGTATAAAGCTGAGATTAGTTTTGCGTTTTATCTAAACGTAGCAAAGTAACATGAATTGTTTGTATAGCTTCGCAAATTGATCGTGGACCGATGCTGGACGATAGTAACTTGAATGCTGTGTTCTACGAACACTTGACGAGGTAATCTCATTCATTTTACTCATTTTTTTTTCGTAAATTGCTAGTTAGAAGTCTCGTTGTAGAAGCCTCCAGAAGAGTCTAGCAGGTGACCTTCAAATGGGTAGGTGGTCAACAAGTGTTCAACCGGGTGACTGTTTTATTCTTGCTAGGTTGGTTAATGAAGAGGTTTTTTGCGTCTTTACTACGATTTTTTTCCATAATTTTTCTTCATTTTTTTTTCTGGCTTCCGTATTGTATATTACTTCAGTTTTTATCTCAACTGTCTCGTTCATATAATCGAAGTCGGCAACGGCTTTGTTACGTTCCAGTTGCGAGGTCTGGAGTTTCGAGGCACTTACTGTCATCAAAGAGAAGTTAGTCTGCTATGACTTACCAAATTCTTCAACTGTTACTTTTTGGTATTTCATATTTGTGTAGATGTGTCCCAAATTGTGGACTGCAAATGGGACGCTGAGATATTTGCAAAACTTGGACCACAGGGTGGATCGAACCGCGATCATCCTTTCCTGGGGCTCATCTCTTACTCACGGCACCACTGATGGCAGCGTTAAGTAGAAAAGTGGCTTAGGAAAAGGTAGAACAAGGAAGGAAAAGACAGTGGTGATGTGCGTAACACTTGATCCCTGGGAGGGGTAATCGGCGGCTAGAATCTGGCCTGTGATCCAAGTTTTCAAATATCTCAGCGTCACGTGGTTCTATTTCACATCACACCCTGCTGTGAAAACTAATAATAGGTAGTAAATGAAATGTTAACATTCAAATTTTTTATTTCGTTGGAAATCTAACATTTAACTCATTGACAACTGCGCTGTTTTCTCCAAGGAATCTCTCGTGGGAGAAACCGGTTTTCTTTTCTGTATCACATGTGCCATATGTTGCTCATATTTCCCCATGCCTCGGTAATATTTTAATAGTCATTATTTCATTTTCGTTCTTCCTACTTTCGTTCGGTTTTTTCTGCGTATTCTTTCGCTTTACTATGTAATAATGGTCCGACGTTGTGGATTTTATCAAAAATTTATTCCTTAATGTGTTCAACTAAGCCAGGAAGCTCTTCTTTTTTCCTCACTTTAGAATGTAAGGTACCTCCTTGGTATCATTTCTGCTGGATTTTCGCAAGGTTTAACTAGTCTCGAGAGTGATTGTAGCGCAGTGGTTAGAAGTGTCCTACAATACATATGTGGTTTCTGGTTCATTCCCAGACCTCGGACTCACCAAGTCTTGCATCCTTACGGGGTTGGTAAACTAGTATCGGACTTGCCTTTAAGGATAACAGCACTGAATTGATGCATCGAAGAGCTACAAGTCATTGTTGAGGCCAGATATGTATCAGTATCTCTAATTGTGTTTAATGAAGTCGAATACTGGTGCATCCCTTGGAAACAGATCAGTGCCTAACGCTTTGTCATTTATCCTTTAACTCATCCCAAAAAAAGAGTAAATTTTCTTCGTATTTTTGTTGAGCAAACGCGAGGTGTTATTATTCTTTGTTCACGATTAAGCTGACGTTTCGGCGGATTTCGCCTTCCTCAGAGCGACATTAATGACATTATAATGACATTATACTTCCATGTGATTTCTGTGCGGTTGGTCTCTACGTGACATACTTAGTGGAAACCTCATAGGAAGCGGCTCTGAGGAAGGCGAAATCCGCCGAAACGTCAGCTTAATCGTGAACAAAAAATAATAACACCTCGCGTTTGCTCAAAAAAAATACGAAGAAAATTACTTGATCAGTGCCGAGGTTAATAGAAAGTCGGTTGTGGCAGTTACTGCAAAAAGAGTAAAGTTTCGTTTACTTTTGGCAATATGACGTAACCCTTTAATTGTTCACTGCCTCACCGTGGAATGGTGTTCATAGGTGTCAAATCGTAATGTAGAGTAGTAGTGTTCATCTTGATAGCGTTGTCAATGACAAAAGGAATTCTTTCCAGTCGGAAATCGTGCTAAAGGCAAACTCGCACTAGGTATTACAGAAAACTTAACAAGAACCTGGCAATTGTTTTCGTAATCGTTGATTTACATTAGTTTATATCAGTACGATGAAAAAGTGTCAGCTATGACTGGTATTATTCTGTGCAGTAGCTGTCGTATGAACCATGTTTGAACCGCATCGTTGTCAGTGGGTTAAGGTGTAGAAAAAAATTTATTTCCCACAGAATCGCTATAGTTAGCTATTTGGAGGTTGGACATGTTTTTGTTGGATTTTAGATTTAACATGAAAGAACATTTCCTTTTTTTAGGTGGAAGCAATTTCAGACGATCAATCCCAAGGGACTGGTTGTTGTTGTTGTGCTCCTGGGTCGTTACCAGGGTTGCTTTCCCTCAATACGGCATGGAGCCTACGTTGGCTAGCTTGGGAGGTAATCTGATGTCTTTCTTATGTTCCATTTCACTTCGATTGTGTCTGGTGTTACAATTTTGCCACAAATTCTTAATGGTTCAGAATATATTCAGGTTGTGACTGGCAAATACATAATTGATGGCTATTCAATTACTGATAATTCTGCTGTGAATTTGCTCCAAGTTCATGAACTGAGACGTCTTCTCGTTACTCTATATGTCAAGTGCATTGTCTACTACACCCTTGCATCCAGCAAGTTACAAAATTGGCTAGCTAACGATACTGTGGTAAGAATTAGGGTTCGAAACACGCTTTTGTAGTGTCCTACATGTCGGCTTCATTTCATGAATACATTATTCTGTTTTGTAGCGCAGCACTCTGGAACCCATTGTGGCAAATCCTCGTTACGCAGATGTTGACCATTTATTTTGTTCTACTAATGATGAAGACTTCGATATGAATGAAATGGTAGAAATCACAATTTTAACTTTTTTTTTGTTTGCTGCTTACTACAATTTTCACGGCAGAGTACTATGCGAAATTAACCACAATGGTGCTGAGATATTTGCAAAACTCCGGACCGCAGGTGTCTGCGGTGAGGGACGAACGCGCTATTACCTTTTCCGGAGGTTAACGCGTTCACCATCATTGCACGCGCGTCCTTCGTTTCGCCTTTCTCTCAGCTAGTTTTCTACCAACCAGTGCCATCAGCAATGACTTATAAAAGGGATTGATATGGAGAGTCCAAGTCGACATTGAACCCAGTTAAACTTAGGCTGCGATCGAAATTCATTGTGGTTGGAACAGTGGACTGCATGAAGTGAAGTTGTGTGCAACTCTATGTTCGTTATTTCAAACTCCGTATTTTAAGGGAATTTCTCGGACTAGTTTCACTGAGTGGTACTCTTCATGGGTTTCACACTGCATCAATAAACGGCTGGAGAGGAATTCTGAGGAAATGATGTGAGTTATTGGTACGAAAAAACTGAGGTGAAAGTGGCAAAATGATGAAATTGAAATGTTCATGCAATTATACTGGCAAATTCTCGTGGGAGCATTTATCTGTTCTTCATGTAAGGCATACACCTATTACACAAACCAGCTGTATCTATCTATTATTGAAAAACTTTCATTATTTAGTTAACAAGTGTGCAACTGCAATGCATGGGTGATTTCTCTACCCTGATTGTAATTCTAGCTTCGCTCATTACATACCCAAGTCCGGTTTTTTAATCGTCGTACTTCATTGGCATTTTCGCCATGGTGCTGATTTTTGTGTAAAAAAAGTATCTGAGAAAAGAAATATTAGTTTGCATTTTTAAAATGTAGTGCGAAACACTTGAAATTTTCAACATAAATGTGACACCGTTGAGCACCAATCGCTCATTTGGACCATAATCGCATTGCGCTTAAAGATTGCGTATTTGGCCTTTACAACGAGTTGCGGTGTCCTACCGATATATCGAGCCAGTGCTGCTATGTTCCCAGACAGGTCTGCTACCAATCTGCGGACGCCGGAGGGATGGAAGGCTTAGTGAACCTGGGGTTCGGTAATCGATCACATGTGTTCTGCAGGGCGCCCCCAACCGCTGCGCCACACGTGCCCGAGGAAAGAAATTAGTTTGCAATTTGAAAAGTGTGCAAAACGCCTGAAACTTTCAATACAAGTGCAACACCGTTGAACATCAGTCGTTGATTAGGACCGTAATCGCATTGCACTGGATGAATTCACTCGTTTTCATTCATCATCAGTCATAAGAGCCATTGGGATGTTAAAAATTTTTCTCTAACAAAATATAATTTCGTGTATTCTACCATCATGTATTTTTTTGCAATTTTGGAAACGTCGATTGAAAACTTTTTGGAGTAGTGCTCGAATGATACACTGTTTTCTTGATGAACAAACACAAGGTTGTTAATAGGAAGATTTCTTCAATACAGTGCTAGCTGACGTTTCGGCGGTTTCGCCTCCTTCAGAGTCTGGAACAGTCAAATTGATACGAAACTCACCCAGTGAAACACTACCGTAACCCAAGCACAGAGAACAGTACATCCAGAAATATTTGACTTTTATATTATTAGCAGGAATTTTTGGATTCCGATGGCCGTATTTGAATAAATAAAATTCGCGCTAAGGTTGTATGCCTATGTTTCTTGTCGAAGCGCTAGATTGTTCATGATGATGTAAATATAAGAAATCCGAAAATGAACCGCAGGGAAGAATGCCTCATTATCACGCATGATATAGGGCAGTATATAAAACTGCTTTTCTGACAGGAGGGGAACATTATACTTCCACGTGATTTCTGTGCGGTTGGTCCTACGTGACATACTTAGTGGAGACCTCATAGAAAGCGGTGAGTGTGCAAATATGTTCAACGTGATTGAAATCTTGGCTTAGAGTTTCTTTGTTTGGTTGTGGAGGCGTCTGTCCTAGTAGATTGCTATCAACTTCACCTTTCCAGGCTCTGAGAAAGGCGAAATCCGTCGAAACGTCAGCTTATTCGTGAATAGAAAATAATAACACCTGGCGTTTGCTCAACAAAAATACGAAGAAAATAAGTGAATGAATTCGGTAGTATGTTAATGTCTGCGACGTTTGTTTACCGAGTTTGTCGCATACAGTTCCAAATTGCAATGCTTTCCAAAAATTATCATGCTTCTTTCTGAGAAGGAAGTGATGTTACATTTTATAAAATATGTAACAAGCTATTCATACTTTGAAAGGCGTCAAATTTTTTTCTTTGAAATTTGTTTCGTTGCCATAGCAATTTGTGCAAATAGCTTCACATGATTTCCATCGTGTCCGGTCTTGTCTCTGTTTTGTTAAATTTTTCTTGCTCAGAAATTCTGACTATGTAACGTGCCTTTGTTATGTGCTATCACTGCTTGGGCGACGTGCATTGGGCGCCGCCTCCTACAACCGACATTCGAATGCTGCTGAGTCTTTCCTGTGTGGTTTGCACGCCTTATTCAAAGGAGATTTCAGGTGCTTCCGTATTCCACAAGTATGGAGTTATTTGTTCTCCTTTAAATTAGTATGTTAAAAGGTTATATTATGTTAATGGAATCAGGACAGTGCGTGTTTTTTCATAACTGCCAGCAGTTTTTCTGTACTTGGTTCGCTTCATAGTTTGACAGCTGGACAGAATTATATAGGATACCGTTATATCCCCTCAAGATTTGTATAATTTTTGGAAACTATTGTTTTGGTTTTGTATGGAATTAAAATTCTCAAAAAAATGCGTTAGACTAAGACTTTGCGTCATCCTTTGTTTAAAATTGAGGTTTAAGCATTGCTAATACTTCAGAAAAAAAAAGAGCTAAATTTAACATAATCTGGATAACCGGTCAGTGGCGCATTTGGGGACTTCATCGTTTTCCTGAGCGTAATCCCGCCCATTTGGTCGCTTTGTTGCTCGAATTCCTAGTCGTGACAAGGTGAGAGTAAGGAAAGAGACGGCTTCAGTGCTTATAAAGAGCTTGAAATTTTACTGAATGGTACAATAAAAAACTTGGTTCTTGCTGGCAAAGATCGTAGATCTATTATTTTTGTTTCGATTAATGGAGTTTTCAATGAGCCCAGATATATTTGTTTAAACTTAAAGTGCTATTTTGTTTTTAAGACATGTGTATAAAAGTAAATGAGTGTTGTCACGTGAATACGCCTTTTATGTTAGGATCACTTGCCAACGTGATGAGTGGGTGTTTGCCGATATGGACCTTCTCAGATGTGTCATTGCGCCTGCTGTAAAGATGGCACTCAAACTTCACCAAGTGAGGTTTATTTCCCTGAAAATTCCGTTGTTCCATTGTGACTTTATATCTTAGAAGTTCAATGTTGATGTCTTTCTTCATCGGTGTTTCCTAGAAAAACGTTTTCCATAAAATAGCCATTAGTCAAAACGCCGTTGTTTTATCAGTAAATTGGAGATCTACCGTATGGATGTTAATGTAGCCAAAGAACCTGGAGATTTTAGGATCATTTCGCAGCGCCAGACGATTTTGAAGATCCGGAATCTTTGTTTAATTTGATCGCTGAATACCAGACCAAGCTGTTCATATCACACGAGGTGTATTCTTGTTGCAGTAGTATAATTTTTACCTATTTATAAATCGACTAGTTCAGCACGATCCGGCATGGCGTCGTGCTATCATTGCGAATACTCCTTCACTATTGGCATTACGTCATATGTATGACGAAGGGCAAGATGATTACAAAATCATAATGCTGAATCGAATGCACCTTAATATGAGGTTTGTTATGAAGCACATATGAAGACAGTTTATGCTTTTTGTCGCCCCTCGGTCTAAATTTTTAGCTGTGGCTTCTTTTCTACAATGTTCGGACTAATTACGGTACTTTTTTCACTATCGTTTAGGGTGATTAAATTGAACCGTGAATGCGTGAGAGCATTTTGGGCTGGTCAACAGCAGGAATTGATTTTTTTAAGAAACCGGAACCCTGAGCGAGGTAGTATTCAGAATGCTCGACAAGTGCTCAGGTAAGAGTCAGTCGATATTATTTGTTCGTTTTCTTGGAATAATCGTATTGCAGGAACATGATCAATAGCTCAGCAGATCAACCTGTAGGATATCCAATTTACGTTTCACCTTTGACAACATCCTTTGTGGAAACACATTCTCAAATGGCGAACATTGTTGGTCCTCCACTTACTATTGAAGTTGGTACTATAACAATTTTTTTACAAAATTTCAAAGGCAAAATCCTTAATCTGACTTCAGGCTCTAATGGAAGCATTATAGGGGATATTTTCTGGCGCTAGACGAACATGGTTGGCTTTGCGTGCACATTTTGGGCCTTCCGGAAGTTCATCATTTGGCCTTCGTGGTGGTTGTGGTCCAGTTGTTCCTACTATAGCGCTTCAGCAGTTGTCAGCCATTCAGTCTACCCAGAAATCGGTTGGAATATCTGAAACTGAAGACCGGACCAGCACGACGTCTGCACTTGTAGGAATTTAAATATTGTGCTATGTTTTGTAGTTATAATAGCTTGAAAGATTAAAAGGTTTTTGGCTTCACTGCGAAAGAAGCCGCATTTCTTAATGATTTTGCAGTTTTTCCGGTACTTCATCATAGAGTTCCATGTACGAAAAACAAAGCGTTGGTGCCAACGATCATTTGCATGACAAACTTTTATTTAAAAAATATTTCACACTATGCTTAAAGATTCAAATTAGAGAACGCTACCTTCTGAGTGCTTAGGAATTTCTTACAGGAGAATTCGATAGTTCACATGACTCCTGATGGAGGTGCACGAGTGGCACTTGCTCGGAGAATCCCCGGAAGCAGCGATACCTCTCCAGGAGCAAATAAATTTTCGTCGACTGACCCCGTTCTGCAGGTTGTTCCAAAAAAAGCTAGTGTTGATAAGAAGCCAGAGCAAAGAGAAAACGCGGAAGAAGGGGAAGAATTGGAGGAGTTCCGTGATGCCGGTTTGTGGGTGCGCATCAATGATCTGGAACAGGTACAAGCAGTTTAAATTTTTCAGCTGCCTCCCACCTTACTTGATTCTTTGGTTTTTTCGGTGTTCTGGTGTCTCAATGAGCCACTAAAATCTACTGGTGAGCCCTTAGTTCTATGGCCAAATGAAGAAATTCGACAGGTATAGATAGCTTCTTCGCGTAACTTAATTACTTAGTTGAAGATAATTTTGTTTGTGAAGATCAGTGGAAGGAACTCGTGGTGCTGTCAACCGACGGAAGGCCTCATAGGTCGCGTTATTTTCTCCTGGCATCCCAATCATCCGAATAGGAAGTTCCGTAGTCATATCGGTGATGCCATTTATTTGGTCCGTTTTTCAATAACCGGTTGTTTTCATGTTTCCTGTTTTTACACCTTCTATTCGAAAATCATTATTGAAGTTGGGCTATTTGCTTTTGTCTTAGTTCAACAACTTTCAGGTGGCGAGCCCGGAGATGTCTCGTACACTAGTACCAGTAAGTGAGAAAGGTTGTACCACTCTAACACCGGAACAGGTCTTAGAGCTTCAGAGCGGAGAAAACAGAAAGGTTTTAATGTTCATTTTATTCGTTGTACTATTCAAGGAGTAGTGAATAGACTTAATTTAATTGATTTTAAACTATGAATTAAAAAATCTGTGAAGGATCGTTGTCTCCACTTTCCATCTTAGATTTTACAAAACTTTTGGTCATACTTTTAACTAAAGATGTGGTTATAGAACAGCGCAGGAAAACTCTTTAGGTAGACCTCAAAGAGTTTTTTCTTTTAATTTCGAATTTCACTCCTCATAGTCCAACACCACAAGTTGTGCGGATACCAGAAATTTTGTTCCATATATTCACGGTGTCCTTCCAATTTGAATGTAGGTTCTGTTATTGCTTGAGGATTTAGTTTTTTTTTCTACGAATGTTGTTGAACGTCGATCGAATAGCTTTTACCTGGAATTATAAGATGAGATAGCCGTGCTTCATCTCAGACAGTCACCAACTTTATGGATTGGAGGTAGGGTTCTCAGACAAGTCGTAGCAATCTGATACTAAGTGTAACAACCCACGTGAAATCTTGCCTTCAGAAAGAGAAAATCGCAGACCAGTGGAGGACTTCGTCCATGTTCTTGCATCCCAAGAAGGGTAGCCGAAAGTATCTTCGTAACTGTCGTCTGATGTTCTTGTTGAGCTTACACTACAAGCTTCGTCTGTTCGCGAAGATTAGCCTTTTGCACATATCCTTGATGGAGGCACAACCATTTGAGCAAGCAGGATTCCAACAGAGATTCTGCTGTATAAGCCATATCCAAATTGTATTATGGATCGTAGAACTGTTGGGAGTAACATCTGCCTTTTTTCTTAATCTTTATCGACTAAAAAACGTTTGACAGCGTCGAAATGAATGCGATCCTGCAGCACTCGTCTTCCAAGTAGTGGATCAGTACTACATAAAAGCGCTACTTGACTGTTGTCGGAACAGCAACACAATTATACCACTTTTTCATGGGCTGCTTACCATACCCATAGGAAAAGTGGTTCAACAGTGCGACACAATATCGCTAAATCTGTTTAGTGCTACATTGCAGTGAATGGTAAACTCACTCAATTGAGACGAGAAGGGCATACGTATTGATGGGAAATCCTCATCAAATCTTCGTTTTGCCAACGATTTCTCATGAAGTACTAACCAAGTAGAGGCGATGTTCAGTTGAACTCAACGAAGGGAGAAAAAGATTGGACTACCCATAAATAGCGTGAAAACGGATCGCACCATGTTCAAAGCAGACAAGTACCGTGGACGTCGGTTGCTCGAAATAGGAACGAATGGAATCTGTGCTTGTGCCCACACTACCAGTGATGACGGGCTATCCATGTATCCAGACGTGTACGTAGGCAAGATTGCTCGATTATAGAAAAAAAGCCCTGTACTCATAGAATGGTCGAAAGAACTCTTTGAATTACCTTGTAAAAAAATTTCGCATTACTAATGTCCTACCAAGATTATTTGTTCTTATAATTAACCGTACGTTTAATTTCCAATAGAACCGAAAATGATGTAGGCAAAAGAATTAGGTGGTGTGTTATTTTACACTTAAGAAAGACAATTGTGAATGTATTCCTTCTTCAGGAGTATCTTCAATTCATGAAGAGGATTCAAAGTGATCTGGAGAATTTGTGAGCGGTAGACTGTGAGTCGAGTTGTTCTCCGTATTCATTGTTGAACCTTTGATTGTGCTTTATTTGTCGAATAATTGCTTCATAGGTTCATATGATCGTGCTGTTAATGCTGACTCTGTGTCTTTATTACTAATTTGACTTAACTTGTAAACATCCAATGGACCCGGGGGGGGGGGGGGGGGGGGGCGTATTGATAAGTCCAAAAATGCTGGGTTAAGGAAGTGATTATCTCTTTGGGATGAAATCGGCAATTATGAAAGTCTGTGAAATCCTCAGGACCTTTTACCCGGATTCTGTGTTGTGCTCAATGCAGAAGATGTTTCAAACTGTTGGTTAGCTGTACAGAACGATGACATAAATATTTTGTGATAGGTTTGTTCACCAGTTAACTGACATGGTCAAATCTTCCGTTCCTGCTCAGGCTGTTGTGTCAACTTTCGAGACGGTTCTAGTTTTTCTTCCAGTGTATGTGACAGTAAAAGATGAAGAATAACAAAGGTGTTACTGAATCCTCTTCTTTCCTATTTCATTTGTTTCCTAGAGGCATTACTTAGTTCGCCGCTTGCCATTTTATTTCGCGCTGTTGTCTAAGTTCAGAAAAATTTGTTTCACTTTTTAAATAACGTTGAATAAAATGGAGAATATACGGTCATCACCCATTCATCCAGAACGATGACATTCGCCATTGAATTTTATGTGATATCCGCCCGTGAAAAATTGTAATAGGCATTATGTAAAAAGCTTAAAATTGCTCCAATTCTTATGAGGGATTGATCCGTGATGATAAATTGGCGTTTCTCCTATGCAACTTATATTGCCTAAAAGGATGAAAGTGTGAGCAACATGCAGTGGTTCCTTTAGGGGTATTTCAGACTGCCAGGAGCGATGTAGAGTGCTTCTTTTCTGGAAATTCCACGATAACATCAGATCGGAATTGAGATCACGGAATCCTTCGTTTAAAGCGGCATAAATGCATAGTTTTAACAAATTTTTGACGGTACTTAGACTTCGACGATGTGGATTAAGCGATAGAAACGCAAAGAACGACTGCCCACTCGAATTTGACGAGTTACCTGTCCAGACGCTATAAAACGCCGGAAAACGCGATGTCCACACGGTTTTCGCTACTTCCAACCGGTTGTCAGGTAGTCACGCACACCTGCAAAAGCCCACACCGGGTACTGTAGCCGGGTTCGAGTTATCCCGACGCGGACGAGAAAAATGCGAAAATTTTAGTGGAACCGAGAACTGTTTTCGGTGTCTACTAATTTCGTAAAGTTCCACTGCAATACTACGATATTGGGTGTCGGTCGAAGTAATGGTAGTGTGTTTCGATCCATTAAGTTCTAACTCCCGCGGATTCTGATACGTACACATCAGATATATCGCTTCTTGCATAAATTGGACCTTAATGAAACCGAGAACTGTTTTCAGTCTTTACTAATCTTATTAGGCTCCACTATGATAGTATGATAGATAGATATTCAGTGTCGGTAGCTTATGGACCAACGCGTAGCTAACGAGAGTGAGATGAAGAGGGACTTTATGCCTACAAATCAGAGAAAAAAGTGACCACTCAGAGTTTAACAGTCGTTTGTCTTCCATTACGTAGTATGTGACTTCTTTTGTCGCTGTGTAAAGAGGTCATTTCGTCATTTTGTTACCTATGACTTTTAAATATTTGATACCAGTGGGAATTTACTGCCTTAAAAGCTGAAAGCTTTTAGGGTAAAGCTCTTGGCGTTGATCAATCATTGAGGGGTACGCCATGCATTTGACTTCATCAAGCATCGTTGGAGGTGATCGAATGCATATCTGGCCTTTACAATGACTCACGCTGGCCTACCAATGTATCGAGCCAGTGTTGCTATCATCCCAGACAAGTATGGCACCTATTTGCCTGCCTCGTAGGGATGGAAGGCTTGCTTAGCCATGGGGGCGTGGTTCGATCCTATGTTTGTGTTGCAGGGCGCCAAACGAGGCCTCCATAGTGCCTTAATAACTTGAAATAGAACTAGATTTTTTCACTTAATTGGGAAGTATACATAATAATGAATTTCATACTGCAGATTTCTCGATGTGACCACTTACATATTTCCCAAAAATGTCCTCTATATCCAATCAACTTACCAGATTTTCTCACCATTTCATTTTCATTTAATTTCATATGACACATTTTTACATCTGCTAGGCAGATTCTAACACTTTTCACATTCGACTCGTTTCCTCGCATCCATTATCCACGAATATCTTCCAACTCATACGTATGGCCTCGGTTGGTGCTTGAGGATTTTCGTTTCATTTTGAATATGGTAGAATGCTGGTCAAGCAGTTCTTCCTGTAGTCCTGGGTTAACCGGGTTGGAGCGCTCTCATTTGATTGCAGTGTGATTTTTCCCGAACAAGTCCGGTACCAATTCCCCGAGCCCGGAGGGATTAGGGGCTTGGTTGGCTGGAGAGAAGGGGGGGGGAACGTAAACGTTCTTGAAAAACAATGTCGGCGTCACGAAATCAATTTTTCCATTCACGACTAGAAATCTCAGTAATTGCAGGTTATGACTGATGAATTTGACCTTGAGTGACATCATGTTCTGTGAACAAGGTGGTTCGCAATCATTGTGGTTCAGTTTCTTATAAACCATTGCATTTTTTCTGTAGCCGATTCCTAGACGTAAATTTATTAGAGTAGTAATCTAAAGTAACACAGAGAAAGGAGGAAGTGTATGAAGGCATTTATATACAGACAGAGGTAAGTGAATGGTGGACGGTAATTAAAGTGAAAAGGGTGATTGAGATGTATAATGAGATCGTAAGGAACACGTAGAACCCATAAACAACGTGCAGAATACAAACTGTGGTGAGCAATGAGAAAGCGTAACGAGCGGTGCTTAACGAGAGTACCCGTACTGAAACTGGATATCTCCGAAGAACGTCGGTTCCTCGCCAAACGTATGTCGACGGTGTACAGGTCAGTTTAGTATGTGGAGCCATAAGACAGACTCCGACATAGGATACACAAAATATGGCGATACTGAAGATTGGTCATGCAAGGGAATTGGGGATCATGTCTAATTGGTCCTCAAAATAAGCCAACTGTGAAGCACATTTTGATTGGTAAAGAGATGTTTCAAACGACTTGAATCGACGTAGATGGTAGACTGACGACCGCTTCCAGTTTGGCAGCGTCTAAAGCCAGCGGCTTGTTAACTCGCTCGATCGCCTGTTCATAAGTTGGTGGTGGGAGCTCGTCGGCAATCACCTGAACACTGGCACTCAGACAATCGCTCGCTTGTGAAGTTCACATGGTGATGGAGATACATAACTATAGTATTTCGACTTTTGAGAAACCATATATTCAATTGCAAAAATGGTGGTGGAAATCATCAGAACGTCCTTTTTTTTCCAAAATACGTGCACAAGACGGGTATACGTGCTAGTGCTTCTCTGCTCGATTTCTTATGGAAATCATAAGCAACTTGCTCAAAACTCTTAGGCGATTTAGTTGAAGCTCTTATTGTAAAGTGCGTGGTCTGTTTAGATTCTCTTTGAGCTCATTAGATTGCTTTCATCGTAAACATTTTAAAAAAACTGTATTGAATGGCATAGCAGCCGAGTTATGCCTTGAATTTGTGGCAAAACATTAGTTTAGTCCTACTTTAAAAGTATTAAAAGAAGAAAATTCTGAAGTACCTGATTGTAACTTGGTGGTGGTTTACTGTATGCGCGTAGTTTCATTTCCTTCATGATGCCGAAGGTGGTGCTAAACATGGCATGAATTTCCCATATGAACAGGCAAACCGACGTCAGCAACCAGAGGAAGTGGAAGACGGAAGTCGAATCGTCTGACTCGGCCTTTTGCATACCGTGGAACAGCGCCGCCGATGACAGTGATATCTCGAATGACAAAGGAACTGTTATCGGCACGCAGCAAACCACATTTTTAAATGTTCAAGTTTTTTATTACTACCTATTTTTTTTCATGTCAGACCTATTCTTTGCTGCAGTTTCAATTTAACTGGGTTCAATGCCGATTTGTGCTCTCTAGATCATTCCTGTTGTCAAGTGATTGCCCAACATCGTCAGAGTAAAAAAAGGTGAGAAAAAGTCAAGGAAAGGGCATTGGCAGTGGAGTGGGTAACACATAAACTCTAGGAGATGGTAATCGTGTATTGGATGCTGGCCTAGCGACTCAGTTTTGCTCATATCTTTTCATTAATATGCTTGTATTTCACGTAGTACTCTATTATAGAAAAAAGAATATGTAGAAAAGAAAAACTGGAACACGAAGAGCATATAACTTCAGGTGTAGTGCCCTTACATTTACAGTTTTGGTTGCAATATAGTCATAGACAACACGACTTATTCTGCTATGACAGATTCACATTTAGCTGTGGTTCCAGATGGAAATGTACACCTCAGTATGTGTCGCTCTGCTTGTTGCAGCAGTTATTACCCATACATAGATCGACACTAAGGGGTATCATACAGGATTGGTGAGCCGAGAAGGCATTGAAGAGAAGGCACTCAGTTTCTCTCATGGTGGTGCTTCGTCTCAATTTTTTTCCTAATTTTTAATCCCCATCTAAAAACCGAGAAGCAACTCGTTGGTGTTCGTTAGAAAAAAGCAATAAACATGGAAACCGTCATTTCTATCGAGTTTCTTTCTAGAAGGCTCCACTGCAAAAATTAGAAGTTGTTTATGTTCACCCATCAAAAAGATCAGTTACCCAACTACAGTTCAAGCAAGTGCAATTTTTTTGTTTTACTCTTGTTGTCCTTTTTCTACAAAAGCGCATATTTTGGGTTTTGTTTTTATAGGCATATCAACTTCATCACTGTTCAGAAATTTTTCACAGCTCATCAGTTAATGAGCAAGAGGTGCGGGTAGCGCAGCTACAATGATGCCGTTCCACAAGCGCTCGACTTCGCACTTGTGAGCGGACAGGATTTTGTTAGATCCTGCTTTAAATTTCGAGCACATTCATTCTCATCTCGTTATTGTGATCTAAATCTATAGAGGAGAACGAGATGAAGTGCTAATGTATCAGAAACGCGTCACAAAGAAATATTGGCATGGTTCTGTAATTTACCAATGAAATTTGAGATCGTCGAAAACGATTAAGGAAAAAAGAGGTCGACTCACTTTGGCGATAACGTTGGGTGTGACAAAAATTGGTTTGAAGGCGAAAATCCCATATAGGGCAAGTGTGACGATTACAGTGTTGACAACGGAAGTCACCAAGGACAGAACCAAGTTGGGACCCAACGCCTCTAGAGAGATAATGATCGAATTGCCAAAGTTCACCATGATCAGCACACCGACAATAACTCGAGTCTGAAATGTGCTACTGGTATCTTCAGTTCTATTGAATTTCATTTGTCATCAAAAACCATCATAAACTGGATGATCCGTCCAGCACTTAACGATTAGTTTGATTAATCTTCGTACTCGTTGTTCGGCCTTGAATGAAAAGCTTAAAAATGAAAAAAAACTCCTTTTTAAAAATCTTTGTTCATCGATCCAAACAAAAACCACAAAAACAATGCATTTTTGGCAATGTGTTCTAAATTAAGATTCTCTAAGGAAAAAAACGACTTCATGGATCCGAAGAAGTGGTCCAGAGGATGCAGTTTTTCAGAGGCCTTTCCAGGCCGATGTTTACTTGGGAAGAAAATGTTGTTAACTATGAAAGACGGTACAATGAGTAAAGGGAGTGAGGAAAGCACACTGGTATTCCAACTGTTTCACCTTCTGGACAACCACTTCAGGAATACACAGTGGTGTTGTTGCGTTTCAGAATCAGCCCAGTTCGGCTGATTAATGTCGGTCGTTGCAGTTATCCGTATCATTGATTTCCTGCCTATTCTTCTCCGCTGTGGTAGCTTTGTCAAGGTTCAAGGAGTTATAGTATATAAGTCGATCTTCTAAGGTGATAAGTCGTCTTAACCTGCTTCTGATATAAAATTTACCTTGTCCAGGGGTCGTTCGTGTTTCATAATTGTTCTCCAACAGGACGTCTTTGGTCCTCGCACAAAATCGGAGCTACAATGCGATTAAGAGACGGATTTTTTTTTGTCGCTTAGAGGAAACGCAGGGCAGACTTCATAGCGACGATTTATTTGTCCCTCATTTAAACTAGGTGGGACTCAAGTTTTTTTCTCAATTTCCATTCGTTGAGGTGTTTCTAAAGTGTTCCTGTACTAATTCTTAGTTCTTATTCTTTCCCGCAAATTCTCGAATTGTTCTGGATAGACCATCTCCAACGGAACATCTTCAAGAAATCATCGTCGATAGCAATTTATCGTAGTCGACCTCCTCTATCGTCTTTTAAGGGTCTAAACTCCTCCATCATGAAACTTCTGGAAACGACTTCGCACGGTGCAACCGGTGTGTTGTGGTGTGGCTGACGACTCCATCGCAACATTGATAGTGGGAGCACTTTTAGCGCTCCATACCCAATTTTATGTCGCGAAAAAATTGTCTGGCTTCCCTTTCCAAATACAGTGGTTTGAATTAAACAAAGATTAGTATGAATGTAAAAACACTGGAATGAAAATGTGGGGAGAGGTCCACGTTTTCAAATGACGCGGTGACAAATCATAAGTGGAAGAAATGTCGCAACCGCTTCTTCCCTCTAAAGAATGAACTTTTGTTGCACGATCAGACATCACGTGTTAGAATTGCAGCATTTGATTCGTCTCCTGGATCCATCATCCACAAAGGTCTCCGAACTTTTCCATGTAGGTTCAGTTGTTTGCCTTAGGATTTTTAGTCCTCTTAATGAATGTCTCTGCTGTTCTAGTCGATTCTCCCACGAATACTGTGATATCTGCGCTAGGACATTCTTAGACCTTCATCGCAAGTGCGTTCCAGGTTTTGAGGATTGCGGCGAACCTCAGATAAATGTAGTCCGAATTTGTCGACTCCGGGAGGACGGAGCGCTTTACGCGTCGGCTCGGCGTCAAACCAGCAGCACCTTGCTTGTACTAAATGTTATCACTACTACTGCCTTACTAGCGCAAAAAAATACGTTTGGAAATTTCTTGTTACCAAATCGGGGTTTCATATCGGAAACTCATATGTCCTAGTTATTTTCATCACAAGACTTTAATTCACACGTATTCAACTGAATTATTCGAAATCATGCAGGAGATATCTTACAGGTGCACCATTTGTCTATCTGGTGTCTTCCCTGTGAGAAATTCCGCATTGTAGATGTTATGATTTTATCGCGATACTTCACATAGGAAGATAAACCTCCGCTAAAAGCCCACAATGGAGCTGTTCAAATCCTTTTTATTTGGTAGTTTACTTTAGGAAATTCACCGTGGAGAAGACGCGACATGGTTAGGGGACATTGCGGAATCAAGTGAAAATTTGTCCATTCTGAAAAGAAAGCGGAAGCGACTGGAGCGACAGCCTCATCATAAGACCATTTCCGACGGTATAGCGTTGTTCTGGGAAAGACCCGGTTTTCATTCAGCCAAGTTAGTGTAGTCTAAGAGAATGCGCAAATTCAACCTAGTGCTCTTCATTAGACGTTGTTCATATTTATGTAGTATTTTCACGAAGGATAAGGTTAGATCCATTGAAACCTTTTTGGAGTAGACGCAATTCAACTAAAGTAGACTATCGTAACTTTAAGTGTTTTCGTTATTTATTTTCGCATAGAGTTGGTGGAGCGTGTGACGCGGTGGTTGGAGGCGCCCTGCAACACATACGTGGAGTCGGTCTCCACGCCTTTGGCCCACCAACCCTTCGACCCCTCTGGGATCGGCAAAACGGTACCAATCTTAACCTTTTTATTTGCTGCCTATTCTTTTTAAGGCAGGGTATTTTGCGAAATATAACTCCTATAATGCTGAGATATTTACAAAACTCCGGACCGCAGGTGTCTGCGGTGGGGAACGAACGCGCTACAGTCCTTTCCGGGGAGTAACGCGTCCCGAGTTATATTTTTTTTACGAGTTTTGCAAATATCTCAGCATTATAAAATGGTACCAGACTTATCTGGGAGGATAGCAGCACTGGCTCGATACATCGGTAGGCCACCGCGATTCATTGTAAAGGCCAGGTATGCATCCAGTCACCTCCAAACGATGCTTAATGAGGTCGAATGCATGAAGCATCCCTCAGAGATTGATCAATGCCGAGAGCTTTATCCTTTTAATTTTATCGAGAGACTTAAAAAATCTAGTTGTCTGCTGAAGTAAGAAAGTTATTTCTTCTCTACCAATTTCTTCTTTACCAATTTCTTCTTGAATTCAACATGATATCCCAATCGTAGAGGTCTTCCTGAGCTTCATTTGCTTATTCATCACTGCTTCTAATTGGTTCAAGCAAATTTTACTGCTGTAAACGGCCGACGGGTAGAATCATTTGCTACTGTTCTTCGATAGGAAAGGAAGTGGCTTCATGCAACTCTCAATGAACTAAACTTCCCAGATTTGCTTTCACTAAACAGGAGCGCAATGCAATCTGATTACCTGGAATATTTTCTGTTTGGAGCGGAGCCAACTCGACATCGTATACATGGGCGTGTGGTCCATGACAGAGCTGAAATCGAACACGCCACGGATACCGTCTCGAAGACGAGGCGAAGGTTAAGATGGAGACATTGCAGCATGCGTTCGAAAAAATTGTTGACAAGGAAATAGAACGTTGTAGGAAAATAGAAAAGAAAGGAATACGAAAAGCTCCCACACAGAGAAATTGTTCCTTAGAACGTCATTTCGTGTTTTCATGTAGCATACACTGAAGCAAAATAATATCGTGGTAACAATTGATATCATGCACCTCCTGATCACCTGATTGTAGCAAAGCCAAGCACAGATTCATAAATGTATCTAGATGCACATGGAATATATAAACCAGAACGACGCAGTAGAAGTAAGGTGACGACGGGCTGAATCTATCCACACTGTAAATCGTTTTTGTTCTGCGTTCATTACTCTGTCCACTACCTGTTAGTTATTACAGGAAAACGAACCATGATTTCATGAAAACAACTGCACAGTAAACCGGAATCCTTGGAACTCCTTGGAACACCACAAGTAAAACTCAAAATGAAAGGAGAGGCTGGCAATAGATAGGAATCAAAGAAGGCGTTTCCATTACTGAGAGGATATCAAGAAGAAATGAGTAGCATTAAGAAAGATCTTGTCATTGGCGTAGTATTTTTCACTAACAATGCTGTCTACTTAGATATTTAAGTAGCCCTTCTTCCACTGACGTGTTGGACACGGTACTTGTTTCATTCGTGCGATTATGCTGAAAACGTCTCCATGAAAATGTTTGGATTCCTGTGGTGTCGACACAGCTTTACCATTAGTCGTTCGCTCTTCTCTTACACATGATAAATGAGGTTTGATAGTGTTTTTCTCTGGAATTCCAAGACAATGGTGCGAAAGTGTTTTCCAGTTTTCATTTACTGAAGCTGAAGCTCTACTAATTAACAGGAGTATATGCTACTTCATCACAGATTTTTCTGAGTTGGCTGTTACTACTTTTGCAAATAGTTGACGGACCGGTCGAAAGGCGATATAACAAGCCGAATCTCTGTTGTTAAGAGCAGTTAGCATTCGGAAACATTATCCATACAACTACTATAATGTTGAGATATTTGCAAAACTCCGGACCGCAGGTGTCTGTGGTGGAGAACGGACACACTATTATCTTTTCCGAGGAGTAACGCGTTCACCATCCCATCACGCGGGTCCTTCGCTTTCCCTGTTTTTCAGCAACTTCTAAAAAGATCGGTAGAACGTAAGTGTCTGCGGTCCGGAGTTTTGCAAATATCTCAGCATTATAGTAGTTATATTTCGCAAAATACTCTGCCGTTAAAAAGAACAGACAGTAAATAAAAAGGTTAAGATTATCCATACATTTATTTATACGATCTTATAAACTAATCTTTTTGAGCCAATGCGAGGTTGTTATAGGTCTTCGCTGTCGTTGTTGTTGTTGCCGTTGCTGTTGGTGTTGTTTGTCGATGGCTGACGTTTCGACGATTTCGCCTTCCTCAGAGCCGTGCTGCTATGAGTGGGACCACTGTCCATACAAGTATTCCGTGATTACTATGTCGACAGTAACTGCAGTTACATTTTCTTCGTTACTGAATTACTGAACGGATTCTGATGGAGACGTCAACAAATCCACCCTCCCATCAGACGTAAAAGAACTTCAAAGTTTAGCCATCCTCTGAGCTATACGAAGCAGTGAAAAATGTTGGTGTTTCGCGTAAAACGTCCATGAATTGTTTTGCGATTCCTCCATAACCGCGCCGAATTCAGATGAGTATGGAAAGGAATTGTCATACTGCACGTTTTTTATGCAAATTTTCCTTTACATTACCCGTCATCACATCTACTTTGCGGATCTCAGCACTTCTTCCATTCTAATCGTTTCTTGGCATCGCGAAAGCCTTCGAAAACTTTGCGTATTAATTCGACCGCTGCATGAGAATTTTTTCATCGTCGTCAGGAATGTTGTCGGATGCTGGTCGAGTTGATTCTTCCACGCGTACTGAAAGAGACATGATAGGGCCCACACGTGGACTAGAGGGAGTGAGTGTGTGCTTGTCGCAGCAGAAAAGGCTGGTAGCAGTGTGCTTAAGGTTGCTCTATATTTCAATCAATAATCAAGAGAATATAGTATTGCTAGTAACGAGCCAATATTGAGTAATTACCACAATATTGACTAAATCCTAGGTAAGTTTATAAAAGTAATTGATCTTAGCAGCATTTCACTGCTATTTGCTTCACTAGAACATCATTGTACAGCGAATTTGCACAATCGAATAAATATTACATTTACAATATTTATAGATTTCAAAATGTTTTAGTGAACTCGGCATGTCACATCGTTCCCGATCGGTCAGTATGCTGTCGTGGAATATTTCGTAGTCGTAAAGTAACAAACCTTCTTCTGACCCACGATAGCAAAAGACTGTCTATGGTGATAATTATGTTGTGAGCACACCCTATCACGGCTCTCTTGGCACTATAAGAAGAGCATATTTGGCCAGCACTCATCGTTTTAGTGAATGAACTAGTAGACCACAGATTATGAAGGCGAATGGGAAATAACAACGATGAAACAAAGGGTAAAAGCGCTGGCTCAAGCGCGAAATGTAAGGATGGGCGATGTAAATAGAGCGTCACAATAGCAAAGTGTTGAGATTCAACAGAAGTCTTGCGTAGAGTACTACAAAAGGAAATGGCGGTGTTGACTTCGTTTGCCGACATTATGAATCCGGCAATAACAGGAAAGCTATATTAACCCCATAGACTGGTAATTTCAGTGATGGGCATGCCCTTATTACGACATGTACAATTCCGATGATATCGGAGAAATTGCCGATAAACCGGCTTCACTTTGCATGTACTGTATCAGTGGTGAAAACTTCTGTTACAGATAAAGGTCATGAAAACAGAAAAAGAACCAAAACCTGTTCTACGACGAAATGACGATTTCTCAATTCTGAACGCTAACAACATTGAACACAACATGATAACAAAAAGAAAGCAGTAGTGTTAACATCGGTCATAAGAATCGCTCAGATGCATTGGCGTTTCCTAGTTCCGTATTCACGGTACCCTTTCCGGGATGGTGAGTGTAACTTTAGCTTTCGAATTTCCTTCGGATGCTGTCTGCTAGAGAGATCAGTTCTTCAGAGTTGTAAACGAGGTTCTTGTTAATTTGCTACATCCATAGGAATGTCGTAAGACGAAAATTGAACCATCAAACATCTGTTTGAATGCTACGGAATGAATACAACACCCTAAATATAAAGGAAAGTTCTATCCTAACTCTTTTATTTACTGCCTTTTTCTTCTTAATGGCAGGTTATGTTTCGAATTATAACTCGTATGAGATGCTGAGATATTTGCAAAACTCCGGACCACAGGTGCATGCAGTGGAGAATGAACACGCGCTGTTGTCCTTACCAGGGAGCAGCGCACTTCACCACTACACCATCCGGGTCCTTCGCTTTGCATGCCTCTCAGCTAGTTCTATCGATCTTTTTGCCAAGTTCTATTATTGTATATAAATGGAAGAAGGGATGGAAGGTGTAGCGTTTGGTGATGATCAATCCGTGAAGGATGCACCAAGCATTCGAAGTACTCAGGCATCCTTAAGGAGAGCTTTGTTTCGACCAATGTCAACTTTAAGACTATTTTTAGCTAAATTCTTAGAAGTCCTGAACATTCATGAAATGAATCAACATCAATTAAATAACAAAGCATTAATCTTTTTTCACATAACGCACAACGTGCATTGCCTTCAATGCGAATGACAGAAATATAAAAAGTATTAGAATCTACACATTTTCGCCGATTGGACAGGAAATAATCCCGTTTTACCAAGGTAAGATTCCAGTTTTCTGGAATCCATGACGTACATTTCTCTTTGTTTTGCCATGAGTCATATTTCGAACACGAGGGCTATTCAACAACTGGTATTTCGTTCAATGGGAAATGATGGTGTTCTCCAGTGTCCCACTTATGTAAGCAGTTATCGCTCTTCTCCTTCCACTTGGAATTTCGAAAGCTCGAAGTTTTTTCAAATTGCTTCACTTTTTGTTTTCTACCTATTATTTTTAACGACGGTGTCTGATGTGAAATACAACCACTGTGATGCTGAGATATTTGCAAAAGTTCGACCCATGCCAGATTCAGATACGCGATCACCCTATCCGAGGTCTTTCATGTTGCCCACTTTAATGAATTAAGGTATAGTGCAGTGGTTAGTGATGCAGTTCATCGGAAGCAAGATTTTGGTTCGACCATTCCAATAGCTTTCCTTCATTCTGCGTGAGAATGCCTTAGCCCGAGTGTCTTTAAGATTGCAAGGAGATTCGACACGACCAGCATTCTACGACACTCATAAAGAAAACGAAATCGTTAATCAGCAGCCGAAACAACACACCAAATGTTCGAAGGACTTTGTGGACAGTGAGTGCGAGAAAAACGAATCTAACGTATTGAAGTGCTGGGATCCGCGTTGTAGATGTGATGACGGGTATAAACTTCTTAAACGCTCCAGTGATCTAGAAATTTCCACCGGTTGTCGAGAAACCACTTCCGATAATTGTCTACTAACCAATAAATGGTCAATCAAACATTAATATTCATAAAGTTGTCATTATTACTATATTATATTATTGGGTTTGTCCTGCCCAAGCAAATCGTAACGACTGCAGGAACTTGGAAGTTTGGCCTATTCAATTTAACTCTCCTACACAAGTAATAGCAGAAATTAAAAATATTGTTTACCGCATCCTTGTGTTATTACGTTACATCCAACAAAGGTAATTACTAAAAAGTAATATGCAGAAATCAAACACGAGCAGACGAAAAGCACGTGAGAACTTCATTTACTTGAAACTCGTTCGGCGTCGGAGAATGGAAAGAAATAGGAAGCCCCTCACTAGTGAGTCGACGCGAGTCAAATTGAATTTTAGAGCCAAAGTAGAGGGCGGGAAGAACTACCCGCGTTATTCCGATTCTATTTCATCTTAGCGCAAGCAAAAGATGGAAGAAAACTGATGTTCAGATGAACGAAAGCCCAGGTGCTACATGTACCCTAATATAAATAGCACTGTTAGTCGCACGGTACATGGGCAGAATGAAACATCTGTCACTGTTGTTGAACGCCTTGTAGAGAGGGTGATGATTTGGGTGTCCCGTATTGAGGAAGTGAAGTAAGAAGTATGAAATTCCAACTCACATCCACCATTGAAGACCCTGGACCCGTTCTTATGCGCCAAGATATCGAGAGTCAAGTGTGCCGAACCTATAAAAGGCCCTAGCAATAAATGTACAAATAGCCTTAAAGTCCTAGGTACTACTACGGGATATAGTGAGTACAACACGAAGACAATCTCATTCTGATCTTAAACTTCTCAATGAGCCTAGACGAGAAATCTCACTTTGAGGCGCACGATTGAATACCACTAGACTACTACGTGAACCAGCTGATCTCTGCATAAACAGTCATTTGTTAAAATGCTGATCGAGCGACTGATTGTTTATTTTTATTTCTTATGACCATCTAGTTCACCTCGTCATCTTTATATACGTCCTTAGTGTTCACCTTCTACATTACCTTTCCCTTGTCACTCTTACAGACAATTTGTTCCGTCGTATCGTCTTATTTCTCAATGGCGTACAAGGCCATCGCATTCTGTTCGATCGCATCTGTGGCATTCTTCTGTCCCTGTTCACTTAAGCAGTCAGGCGATTTCCCACGTGGGAACGCTCGACAAGTGCGGACATTCGTCTCTACGGTTCTAACCAGTTCTGGCGTGTCCCTTGGGTCCATCCTATCTGTCACGTAGGATGCTCGTCGCATTCTGCACTACTGCGAGAGAACTTCGTGAGAAGTTTCTGCGTCCTTGTTTTTTGCAACCACATGGCCTTATCCTTTTTATAAGGCCGCTTGTACCGGTCTTCGTATAAACTTCGTAAGTGGAAATCGTTAAATGTAATCTTCTCTGTAATCTAAGTACCTGCTGTAGTTACATATCTCTAAAAGCCGATGTTTATTTAGCCTCATCATAAATAATAATTTCTTAGAATACTGGTGAGGATTGTTTCATAAAAAGACGTAGAAGTCGGAACGTTATCCCTATAGAACTTGTTACCACCTTTTTATTTGCTTAAAAGTTCATGAATCTACTAAGTACATACGGGATATATGGAGTAATTAAGGACCATATGCGAACACCTTTTGAGAACAATATGACTGCAAACTGATCTAGAAACTTCAGAAGTGCCACCAAACCACTTATGACGTCAAGCAACTGATAGACGCCTCATATATTGGTCGTTATATAAGTAAAAGAACACAAACAGATACGAGAGCATATGATCTTTCAATACAAAGTGGAGTAGTACGAACTGTGCTCTACGGAAGAAATTACAAGCAAGTTTAATTATGAAGCAATGGTGTGATTCGTCTTTTGGTAATGGGTAGAGATTAAACGCAGATAGAAATCGAAGGTCTGTAAAGATTCAGATGGATTTACGAGTTCAGCTGCCTGTCTGTTTTCCATTTGGGGCAAATTTTATCTGCCATGTTTGCGCAAACATCGCATTCATGCCAGGAGGGGCTGTTGTGCTTGCGCACAGCAGTGACAGGGTGATGGTTCCCGGTCGTTTCCGACAACTAAGAGTATAAACAGCTCCTCACGTAAGACCTTAGCAACCTAACCATGGGTGGCGGAAATAAAATAGCAGGAATATAGACATTTACGCGAAAAGTACGATTTTCCCTGCGTTCCTCGTGTGAATTGAACCGTTAGCGTTGAAATGATGATGGAAATGAATGAGGGCTTATTGCTGCTCATTTGGGGAACACGGTAGTTAACGAGATGGAATATCTCCTGTATTACCTGTTGTCCTACTGACCATCGAGTGACTCGAGCGCATCCCAGAAAATCTACCATTTTTCTTTGTCGCGTACAAGAGTAGCCCAACACGTTCCGCTCGCTACAAAGACTTGTCGAGCATCATACCTTTCCTCTAAGGTTTTCGAGAGGAACTCTGACCATTGAGCCGATGGTCCTCCTGCAGTACATTTGACATCCTGAGGAATCCAATTACTGACGGCTCTTGTCCATCGGTTGTCATTCATACGCATTACGTGTCCGGCCCACCTTATCTTCGGCTGTTTGGCGTACAGAACAGCATCTTTGGTTTTTGATCGTTGACGCAGTCGGAGCTTCGTATCCCATCCCTTACTTGTGTGGAACGGGATACTCCTAGCAGCGTCCTTTCAACTGCGCGTTCGATAACGCTGACTGACCTTTCATCCTTCTTACGCAGCGACCGGATTTCTGATGCATACGTTAGGGCAGGAAGTACCGTTGAGTCGAAAAGGTGGGCGCGGAGTCGGGTGTTCTTTGTGCCCTTCACTACATCCTCGATGCTCTTGAAAGCTTCCCAAGCCGCTCGTTTCCTTCTGCTCAGCTCTACGTCGTTCATCATATTGATTTCCCGGTCTAGATAGACATAACTGGAGCATTGGGAGTTGTTCGTTCCGCTGAGCGTGAATTGGGTGTACGAAACCAATCTGTTTCTCATGAATGTCCTTGTTGCGAGATTTAGTCGAAGACCAATATTTTTGGTCTTCGGCTAAGATGGAATACAGGTGACCTATAATAGTTAGTTTTTTAACTTTCTAACATGAATTAGGTTTCTTAATGTTTTGTCCACTAAGATGTATCAGAACAAAAAGACGTCAGACGATTGAAATCAAGAAACTGCATTTGCTAGATGAGTTAACCATGGATTTAAACTAAGCATAGGAAACTGAATCGCTTACACATAGTGAATAGCAAACAATTTTCAAACCGACCGTCATTTAATCCTGATAGCAAAATAATCAACCTGTATTTAAATTGGTGAGATAACACGAAGTTGATATATACAGTTATTCGGCTAAAAATTCGACGTCTTCATCTTCATCACAGCCGATGATTAGAGTCGATGGTCCGCGATCGTCCGTCTTCTCAAAGTGGCGTCTTCGAAGTCGCATCGACACAGATACCCTTAAGTGGGACGCCACACGAATGAGGCACGCTCACCCGGCAGTGTTCTTTTATATAGCGCGCTTGTTTTTAAAATAACTATCCGTTATTAAGAATTTGCCACTTTGAAAAAACGAACAAATGCGGACTATCGACTCCGATCATTGACTCTGGTGAGGACGAAAGCGTCGATACGATAGCCGAATAAATGTGTTCATCAACCTCGTGTAAGCCTGAAATTTAATTGCACGTTGACTCGTTAACGTTCAAGAACGAATGAAAAATTAGCCTGCCGTGGGATGTATTTGGTTCGTGCTATCCTTAGTGGCATGACGAATTCTACATGTGAGGTGCAGATGTTTTTCAGCTTCTCCACTTCCACACATTCCAACATGATCAGCCAGTCAATTAGTCGGTCTTCAAATCTGTCTTGTAACGATTCTGCTATATAATAACTACATTAGCACCCCAAGTTAGTGCTTAAGAGTGGACAAAACATTAATAAATGTGCTTGTGAGTAATAAAAAGGCGATTCTACAGAGATAATAAGTATGACGACTTCTGTGTTAAAGAGTTGAGAGCACTGTAGCACAGTTATCGCGCATTTTCAAGGAAAATCATGCTCGAACAGCATTCAGCATGTCACCGAGGAGAGACAATCTAAGAGTGCCGAATCGTAGCAGCCCAGACCACCTCTATGGTTGACGGTCGCGAGAGATCGCAAGAAAGGAGTGAAAGAAGAGCTGGGTTGGGCAAAATATGTGAACGGCGAGCCAAAAGTCAGATATCGCAAGCTATTTTATAATGGTATATATAGTATAAATAGTAACACATATTAAATAGTATGTGGTGAACTTTTACACTTTATAGCAAACTTGAACATTCCCTAAAAAGAATAGAAAGGAATATCTGTGTAGAGATGGCTGATATTTTCGGTAATATTCTTATTAAGGAATACTCCCTTCTAAAGACGGACAGTGGTATGCACGCTCTTGCAGAAGAAGCTACCCTTGTTTTGAAGAAATAACGCATTCTGAATAATTTCTAAATTCGGAAATATTGAAGCAATCTTTAAAGAAAGCCAAAGGAATGAAATACATGATGAGATCGTTCGAATCATGAGGGATAGAAAGACAGCCTTGTAAACTAACAAGTGAGCTGGCACATTCGATATCAGTTATTGAAAATCTTCTTGCATGTCTTCCTTCTAAAACAATGAAATTTCCTTGTTTGAATTTCTTAGATCTTCACTTATTTCTATTCTTATCATAGTGGAGGAGTTCTCATCCATCAAGTCAGTCAATCAATATGAAGGGACGATGGTATTTTTAATGTTGACGACATAAAATCCAATGATGAAGGTTGCAATAGAAACATGAGAAGTCCCAAACTAATGATATCGTTTGAAATACCGAAAAGGAAGAAACACTGGTTGTTTTCCCTATATTTTTTCACATCCGATTCCTACCCCGGATTATCATCCATTGTTTCCCGTTAAAAACGCCCATATTCGTGTTGTTAAGTAGGCTTATAAACACTGGAAGTGTTTGAAGAGACAAAGGAAAAACATATTGCCGGGTTCAGAATGAGAGGTCCACTTTTTCCGAAGTCACTCATTTCCCATTCTCTCCAAGGGTTTCCTAACTTTTAACTTTATCCGCAACACTTCACTGAATAAAAAACAAGGCAAGAAAAATTATTAATAGGCTCTAAAAAACTACAACCAATAGTCTTGCAAAAAGCGAAAGCACTTCCTATCAAAAGGATTTACAGTGAAGTGGAACATCTATTTTCTGTCCTGGAACCAAAATTTACCGTATCAGTTAGATTATGTGAAGGTCTCTGGTTACATGCGACGTGGCTCAAGAGACTTGGAAAAGCTGGAGAAGTCGCCCTGATGATGTAGCCGGGCAGCTGCGAGCGTGTGACTATTTGAGAACGTACGCACTAGCGTGATGTCACGTCAACGCCCACCACTCACGTACCCAGGCGAAAAGAACTGGAATCGCCAAAGCTTTATGCGACCTTGGGTGAATGATCTGGTACGCCTCGAACCTCGTCTGTGAAGAAATAGTATTGTGAAGAACTACTGTGACATTTGCCATTTGAAGAGGAATGTGACCATTGTGTTCGATGAGAATTCACACCAATGTCGGTCCCCAGCTTGTAGCAGATAACCAGTGGGACAGAAAATTGAAACAAGGACACAGCCATATAAAGAGACGGTGACCAGGTCAACGTCTCAAACAGACATGACGCGAGTTCAATAGTTGCACTAAATCATGGGAATCTAGTTACTGACAAAAACACAGTGATTACACGGTTGTATTTGTCATTTTATTTCGGCGGAACGATAGATGATGAGTTAGCAGAGTTTGACTATTCGATGATAAAAAGTGCAATCTCAAATAAGAATCTTAGAGGCAGAGGCAATTCAACGGGTCCCTGGTGATTTCGAGCTGTATTGTTGCGTTCAGGTTCCATACAACCAAACTCCGCATTGCCTGAGCATTAGCGACTTCGCCCTATCGTTGGTGAACAGTGAATATGTGAATATTCAAATATGTGATTCAAAGTGAATGTGAACAGTGAATACCTCATTACTATTCGACATGGTCCCTCGTAACAGTCCGCAGGATGATAGCGGCCAATAACCAGCTAGCGTGGTCCCTGTCGTGTTCTCATGTTTTAAGCAACACCTTTTATTACTAGCATGAATTACTAGGAATCTGTTTAACACTATTCTCTCCACAACAGAGATAAAAATATTATAAACAAAAGCCAATGGGCAAAAAGTGTATGTTCAACCCTCAAAAAATCA